CCCCTGAGTTTTTGAGGGGGAACACAGCAGAACCCTGAGCTTTCATTCTCATATTTCATCACCATTCAGACCAGTATGACAGTGCCTATGACTAGACAAATAACACATTTTTTACTGATAAATGTTTTCACTCCAAACTGTCACTTAATTATGCTCTTCCTTTGTCTGTTATGTTTCACATGACTACATTTTTTCATAGATCATGATTATTTTCATTGTAAAATAATCCCCACGTGCCCTTGGGTAATTGTGAATATTAATTACTTCATATTCCATTACCTTTTACCATCCATAACAAACCCTCTGAAGTCCTTGGGGATTCAGATAAGAATGATCAGATTTTATTCTTATGCATGCTACTTGGTACTAAAAGACTTCATCTTTCATGTCGACACTGACACAATTTTATTGTCAAAACACTTCACATCATTTATGAAATGGCTTGACTTCACATGACATTTACCTCCATCTTCTTACACAATGGAAAGTCTTGAAATGCTTAAAAGTCTTGAAGTGATTCTGATATTTGGTTCTGCCTCTATTTGTTTACATAGTTGATGGATTTGCTGATCACTTTTTCCTGCTATTTGCCCCAGCCTTCTGGGTCTTTACTCCAGTTCAGTTAGTCTCCCACTATTTTGTTTCCTAATGCTAAAAAGAACTGGAAAGACTAGCTGTGGCTATTAACCAGCGCTGTCTCTTTGCCAGGATGATGATTATGCTATGTCAGCCTAGAATAATGCCTTCAAGCCATTTTCTGAATAACATTGATCATTCACTCTCAAAACTGCATTTTTCATATTCTGAACAAGCCATCATAATGTTCAGAGCTGTCATATGAATATGTATCGTAAAGCTTTAGAGCCCAAGAATATCTGAATTTCTAAATATGAAAAAAAAAGGCAGAAGGAAAATTAAAGCTCTTTAAAAATGGACTTGTGTGATTAAGCAAATCAGTCTGGAAATTTCTGAACTGAACTCTCAGAACTCAGACATTGAGCATATTCCATTATCTCTGACTCAATATCAGTCTGAATCTGTCAGCAGCTTTTAATGCACTTGATTAAAGGACCCTCCTGGAATGTATGGTGAGTGGACAAATCATCTGCAGCCTCTGGGTTTTTTTGGCTTCTGGAATATTTGCAAGAAGCTCATTATTTCCTCCAAAGTGTGCGTGTGTGTGTGTGTGAGTGTGTGTGTGTGCGCGTGTATATATATATATATATAGAGAGAGAGAGAGAGAGAGAGAAAGAGTGTAGCACACAATATTTTGGAACATTTTTAAACTTTATTGTCTAGATACTTAACAGGTGCAAATCAGAAGAGTTCATCAGTGCCAGCAAAAACTACTGCATGCATGTTCGTGAAATTCAACTTCTTTAGAACCTGAATTCCTTTTAAAACATCATAGAAACATCTCTCTAGTATTTACCTCAGTGTAATAGAGATGATTTTTCTTGTGCTGCCCTTCTCTTATTTATTTCACATGTTGTTAGCCAGTCCAAGATTGTGACCTTTCAGTTTCTAAACACTCAATCTCTCAGACTTCTCCCTGGTCAAAGGTGCAAAATGATTTTGAGGCCCCTTTAACTGCAGAAAAGTCTAAGAGCCGGTGAGGGTTGAAAATAACAGTGTGGATCTTGTATTGTTCATTTAAAGCTGGCACAGAACAAGGCAGGAAGGAAGCTCTAAACTGCTCCTAAGTAGAAGTAGTGCAGGAACTTCTACATTAAAGCAGGGGGGCACAGAGTAATAGCAATAATACTCTCTTTTCCTTGTTCTAATAACAACCCTCAGTTGGCTTTATAAGCCCTTTCTGTGATTCTTTCCTATTACCAAATGACCTAGCAGCTGGCCCAAAAGACACTACGACTACATTGCTCCATCCTGCTATAGAATCGTCATGGCATCACCCTGCCCACAATGTTCATTGAGGAAAAAATAAGGTTTTACCAGCTTGGCACTATACTTATCCAAGCCCCAATCCATTAAGAACACCCAGAAAAGATTTGGGTAAAATCAGTACTGAGAATGATTCTTAATTTTCTTGCTCCTTACCTCTACACACTGTATGAAGACTCCTGATATCAATAATTTGCTGAATCTGAGCTGATTGCTCTTTTTGGTGTTTAAAATTGGGGCAAGATTGTGCTATAGGCTCTGTCTACCTGCCTGATTTGTCACTCACAGAACACAGCAGGAATTTAGCCAACACTATTATCACAGCCTGATGTAGTGCACATATTTGTGATCTGTAAGATAGAGTATTGTACTGTTTTACTTTATGGCTTTTCTGAGAAAATGCTGCATAGTCTCTACCATGTGCAAAATGCTGCTGTCAGAATTTTAACTCAAAGTAAGCAGCCTCAGCATGTCACACTAATCTTCAGGGAGCTACACTGGCTCTTTGTCAAACATCAAATTGATTTTAAAATAGCTTTGATGACTTACATAGTTGAGGAACAGTTTAGGGCCTATGTATTTTTCTGTCTGTATGAGGCTAGTCACTGAATGAGATCACGTGGAGCTGGGCTATTGCCCATGCCAAAAATATAAGTTAAAATCATATGGTCTGTTTGTGCTTGTGGCTGGTCCACATCTTAGATGTGGAGTTCAGAGCTAGTTTAAGCTGGTGGAACTAAAACCCAGGTGAATAAACTAATTTAAAAGGAAACTACTATTGAATCTGTTTTATTTTAGATATTCCTTGGCATCTCTGCATTTTTATCTAAGCCATATTTTTGCATTTCTTTAAATGTGTGTATATACACACACACACACACACTTATAATTTTCAAAGTACGGAAGTATCAATTTAGTTAATATTTTAAATGCATGAGGAAAAGAAAGCCAAACTCCCCCCCCCCGCCCAAC